AAGCTGTCCGAGCGCCTGGCCAAGTCCGACTACTTGGATATCGTGAGGAGTGCTGTGGTGGACAAAGTGACGTCAGAGAACAGCAACCTGCAGCCCGCTGACCCGGCCATCATTGCCACTGCTGATCGCTTGTTTTGGGAACTTCATGACAAGCAGTGGTTGGAACTATCTGACGATTTCTATGACCTCCAGACGAGCCCTTCGAAGAAAAAGGTGAACTGGAAAGTACCCCTGTCGACAAGGACCCAGGGTAGTGTGGGAGGAGGACCTCCGAGCCCCCCCGGGGCCGGAAGGGGGGGAGGCAGTGGCCACGAGGAAGGAGGTGGCGGAGGCAGTGGCCATACGACATCAGGGGGAAGCGCGCCGACATCATCGCCTGCCCCTGGCGGTCAGGGCAGGATCGCGCACAGCGGCATGGGGGAAGGGGGGGTGAACGTCACACACTCCCCAACAGCAGGGAGCGGCAAGTCGGGGAAGTTCGCCCGCATCCGAACATCGCAGACGGAGGACCCAGTGCCCGTGGAGGCAGCGAAGTCGGCCGGCATCCGCACTTCGACGACTCTGGAGCAGGCGGCCCTTCCCTCGTGGACTGCTTTCGGCTCCTCCGGTGAAGTGGGGGGGGGCTCATGTGCAGGGGATCTTGTCTCCGCCGTGAAGGGCAAGTCCGTGGGCATCCCTACCAGGGCGGACGACGTTCAGGCGAGTGTACCGGTCCAGTGGAGCTCTMCAGGAGCACAGGCGTCGGAGATGGGCGCCGCCCTGGCTGTGCGGGAGGCGACGCCGCCGGCCCTTGGACAAGGCCGATCTGCGGAGTCACAGAGAGAGATTGCTGGTGCAGCGCTGTCCGCCTTCCTTGCGACGAAGTCCGCCGGTATTCGTACTTCGTCTGTGACGTGCCTGCAGTCGGAGGAGGCAGGGACGGAGGAAGGTGCTACGTCTGTTCATACAGACGACCGCTCCTTGGGATCCGCCTTGATGCGGCTGCAAGGAGCCGAGTCGCGTGAGACTGACGGGGGGGACGAATGGGTGCAAGTCGAGGGCGGGGAAGAAGGGGGAGAATGGGAGGAGGGGGGAGAAGGAGACGAAGGGTGAGAGAAGGAGTTGATTACATTGCGCGACGGGGAAGACGGTGAAGAAGGAGGACTCAGTATTACAGACGAGGAAGGGTGGATGGCGGAGACGAGGATGTCTGTGGGGAGACATCTGATTCGTTTGGTCTGGTGTACGCCAGACGAGGTGAAGGTGATATCGACGACGACGCGACGGCGATGGAGATGGAGACGCAGGTGGTTAGTGGCCTTTCCATGGACCACGAAGAATATGACGCCCACCACCTGGCCAAGGCGGTGCATCCCCCCGACGGGTGCGACGAGGCTATCATGACAGTGAGCCCGGCGAAAACGACTCGYCGTCTTAGCGTCAACGAGGTCATCGATAGCATAYTGGGCGACGTGCAAGCTAAAACACTTCCGTCCACCCCGTCAAAAGACGATGCCCTTCTCAACAACGAAACTTCCGCGGCCGGGGACTTGGCGCTCATCCAGCCGTGCTTTCCGGTACCCTGGTCACCGGTCACAGGAGGAAGGGGGGGGGTTGTTGGGGGCCGCCAGCACGTCACGTCCCCGAAAAAGTGCAGGGTAGGCACTCCGGCCCTGGCTGTCCTCGCCTTACCAGCGTCCATGTCGCCGATGAAGGAGCGGAAAGAAAAACAAGTTGGTAAGCATTGACGATCGTCGCGATGTCAACACTCCCGCGTTTTGGGATTGTCGACGCTGTCTGTCAACCCCCTTGTCGGTTTATGCCACACGTTAGATGGACAAAATTCCGCTTCACTTRTCAGYGAGGACAAATTGGCCTCTTGTTCTTTAACACACCGTCACGCTTTATTCTGCGACCGCTCATCCACTCCTCCCTCTACAAGTCMTTTGTCCCCGTCTCGACTTTCTATCTCTGGCCGGCACCTGTAGTGCGGRTACCGGCGGACTACAAGACAGACCGTCCGATGAACGATTTTCGCAGCGACAAGCTTGTGTGCATTCGCACATAAAACGACAAGCGCAGTCTAGCCCGAGAACCCTGCACATGACAACGAAAGACCACATCACGCCAAAGAAGAGGAATGTTTACAAATGCTAAAGTTCGAATTCCGGCGGACTTGCAGCTACAACCAGCAGGTCAGGTCGCAGAACCGGGTTTGGTCCTGACACTGGAACTGCGGAGACCGCCGGAAAAACGGTAATACGGAAGGTCTGTTCTGAAGTCCGCCGGCATCCAAACTACAAGTGCCGGCGCGAGGTGGAGCACGCCCCGTTGGTCGGTGTTTGCGAACTGTGGCTGCAAGTCCGCTGGAATCCGCACATTGGCAAATGCCGACTTTCCACCTCGCGCCGGCACTTGTAGTGCGGATACCGGCAGACTAGGAAACATACCCTTCGAAGTTCCGGTTTGCTCCGGTCACCGCAGTTCCAGTGTCACGACCAAACCCGGCTGGTCTGTGTCTGCTAGTCGTAGCTACAAGTCCGCCGAAATTCGAACTTTAGCATTGGTAGGCGTTCCTCTTCTTTGGCCTGATGTGGTCTTCGTCGTCATGTGCTAGGGTCTCGGGCTCGACAACGCTCGTCGTTTTATGTCCGAATGCACGCATGCTTGTGGGCTACATTATCTTTCACATTGTCACTTTCGTCGAACTCCTTCAGCTTCAATTCTTTCTTCTTCAGTATGCTGCAACTTCGAGGACACACTGGGGTGGAGAGGTGGGCTAAAAACGTTGATCTGCATCAGTTCGATATGATTTTCGTTCCGGTGCACAAACATAACGATCACTGGATCCTACTTTCCGTTAATTTGAGAGACAATGTCTTCAAAATTTTTGACTCTTTTCCTCGCGTTAAAGCCGATTCCAGTTTCTACCGTAGTGTTTTCGAGTTGATTGTACAGTATTTAGAACGTCATGTCTCACATAGCCGGTCGGATAGGAGTTGGAAGACTATGGTCAGAAAATTTGTTGTGGAAGGAGTTCCAAGGCAAGTTGATGGAGCTAGTTGCGGGGTGTTCATGTTGACATTTGCAACATTGTTGCAACGTGGTGATCGACCCCCTTTTAGATTCTCGAGTAAAGATTTGCTTGTTATTAGATGACAACTGGCAACATGTCTCTTGAAAGGACGTTGTCTTTGACAGTTTTCAATGACTTGTACAAAATTCTTTAAATGTATTTCATTCTATGGCAATTGTATTTGGTAACATAAGACATTATTCAACTGTCTTTCTGAGTTCAACATTGTTTTCTTCATTGGGTCTGTTTCTCGTTGTCTTTGGGATGCTCACTGTCGGTACGGCAGTGGTACTATTTTTGTGCAGTTCAAAATTGTTTTCTTCTAGTTGCATGACTTTTTCATGTGTGGACTTCGTCACCTGAGTCTCTTGTCATGCAGTGGAATAATTCGTGTTGTGCTCTATGATTTCTATTGCAAGTGAAACGCACAGGGCACTGACATCGAAAGTTCGGATATCGGCGGACTACAGCCTCTTCGTCCCCCCGGCAACAATCTTATGTAGGTTGTGGTACATAAGATTGTTGTCGGGGAGGGGGGCGAAGAGGCTATACTCCGCCGGCATTCGAACTTTCGATGTCGGTGTTTTGTGCGATTCACTTCCTTTGTATGTTGTGTGTGGAAAGTAAGGCGTGAAAATTGGATTGCTGCCCCTTGCTTGTCACGACGATTTGCAATTTTGCTATTTGAAGGCATCTGTGTTCTCGCGTGTCTTCTAGCCCTTAAATGACGTTCTCTCACTCTCTTTTCGTGCAGTGGAACAACTCGTGTTGCGCTCTATGATTATTATTGCATGTAC